ACGGTATGTGCACCACTATAGATGTCCATCATTATTTCGACCTGGTGGCCCCGTTCGTGAATGTTACGCTGGTCGATACAGATGGCGTCGATCCAGATCGTCTTCGACTCTGTTGGGTGTCGGAGGTGATGCAACGCATGTTGAAGGTTGGCACCTATCTCGAAGTGTTTTTCATGATTAACTTTGATGAAATAGCGAAATTCGGGTTCTTCTTGCGAAGTCTGAGGAGCTGCAGCGGCCATGGGCTCGTTCCCTATGAGGAGTTAGCGCGAGTGGATACGATTGGGCCTAGATGGAGCAAATGATGTCTGTGAAGATGGGTCCAAGAGATAACAGAAGTTTCTGTTAGGAGCAGATCGATCGACAAGAAAGTGCCATGAACTTACAGGTGTACGAGATCGCAACGTAATTATCCAAATTATCATCCAAACTCTGAATTGTAAGCTTGCAAACAATGGGATCACCCCATGAACCTCCCTTCAGAATAAGAACTCGAAACTGTCGTTTCTTTTCTTCGAGAGGGGTGTAAATAGATTCACGATGTATGATAGGGAGGGATATCGAAGATTTTGTTACGGCGAAGTCTGGGGAAACACGGACTTCGTAGATTCGCTGGGCCTCGTTGACCTAGCCATAGGACCAGATCAATCATGTAATCCGGAGCCAAAGAAGCTGGACAACGTACTCTTAGTGGTTTGAACAGCCATTCTGGCCCCCCTGACAGCTGGCAGGTACGTGTAATTTCCCTGCCAGGAAAGACCTCTCTCCTAGACCACCACTCGCCAGGAGCTAGCTCGTTTTCGAGAGTGATGCTACCATATCTGTTCATCGCTAGCCAGTAAATTAAAATAGTCCAATAATTGTGCGTGTAGCCTCAATATGACCAATTTGGTTCATTATCCAGCTCACAAGGCTGAGGTGAAGAGAGGTGATCTGCGACCTCTCGTCTAGAGCCTCGCCGACTGTGATCAAAAGAGAAGGCAGGCTAATAATTGATTTATATCATCCACAGAGAAGCGCAATGTCGTGTTGGAAAGATGAAGCAGGTCGCGATGATCTCTAGATCATATTCATCTATTCTATTCATATGGGAGGGGAAAGCAAAATGTGGCTGGCCGGCAAGGCAGATTCCAGCACACGCGAGGCTAGCTGAGACAGACACAAAAGTCACCCGACGCCGGGCTTCCAGCAAAAAGAAATAGATGGCAGAATGGTGGCCCAATCAAAGAATAGTATTTTCGTAGCCTCGCTGGAGGTCCTTCCGGATTGTCCAAGATAATAATCAGACATGGCATTGTATGGAGTGAGAAAATCAAAATGAAGTGACCCATTGCCAGATTCATGCGAGCCTGAGAGGGAAGAAAGGTCTCGTCTCAAGTGAAGTTATCCCAAGGTCGGCCTTTCTTCCCTTATGTACTTGGAGGGATGAAACCAGCTTGAATTTTCTGTACCTCTCTGACTCCCGTCGCAGCCCATTGCAGCCCCTGTTTCCACTATTGGAAACGAATATCTAGACATCAAACAAAATGTATCATATGCTCAACTCCATGTCTCGCTAAACCTAAGAAAGCGACCCGATCACCAGAGCAGCTACACCTTCCTCTTCACTGCGAACGACGATCTTACTCGTAACACCTGATTTTGAGGAATACGCCATCCGGATGTTGGCAACAACTTTGCCACCAGTGACCGTCTTGCCGAAGAGCTTGAGTGTGTGAGTAGTGGTGTTAATCGGCACATCGGTGCCTTCGAGCGGTTGTAATGAAAGAGTCTTGGTGAGTTGTTCGGTTGCATCTGCACACATCAGTTTTGATCTTGAACAAAAAGATATGTAACTCACCTGCTATACTCTTCATGTTGCTGAGTTGCAAAGTCTCATCGGCCTCCTCTCCTTGAGCACCAACTTGCTCCCAGATATGGTTGAAATTGCCAGCAAAAGTAGGAATGACATAATCGCTTCCAGTGAGCTCGAGGTCTTCGACTTGATACTCATCGTCATAGCCGCTCTCCTCGGGCTCACCGGTTGTGGGGTCAATCTCCTTCGTCGAGAATTTGAGCACGTTCGTGAAACTGCTGGCAGGGAAAGCTGATTCACCGTTGACCTTCTTGAAAGAAACATAGATGGTGCCAGGCTCATCAGTGACAAGTTTGGCTGCTGGAATGATGAAATCCTCTTCGAGTTCCTCTTCCTCTGATGGAGTGGCGACTACTGAAACTTCCTCAAGCACAGTATCTGGAAGTGTGTTCTTGACTTCATATTGCAGTACAATATGCTCCTTGAAGATATGCTTTACAACAGTGACAACATACTCCGTTTCTGATTCCGTTAACTCTACCACAGGCGATGACTTTAGTACACTGCCATATGACTTGAATTCTGGAATGCGAAGCAATTCTTGTTGATATTTCTGTGCAGCTGCTGAAGCTGTCGCAGCAGCCTCTGTGCTTGAGGGTGCAGTTTTCGTGGGGCCAGCCTTGGGCGCTTTGATCGTGGGGGTAACAGTGGTAAGTTTCTTCGTTCTATCTTCAGCGTCTGCTTGCTCTTTGGTGACGACAGGAATAGCTGCGAGGTCGAAGGGTGTGTTGAAGGTCGATTTATCGTCAGCAGTGACATACATGACAAGCTGGTGCTCAAAGTATGGCAGGGCAAATGTGCTTTCTGGATGCATGTAAGCATTATACTTCAAACGAAACAAACGAAAACCCACCATTCTTGATAAATCGATCTGCCATTTCATCCGATTCTGTCATGAGTCTCAGGTTCAAGGCAGCACGGTCACGGACTTCGTCATCAACATCATCTAAGCATCTGGTAAGGAGAACAGTGACGCTGCGCTTGACCTCGGGATCTTTTTGGCCAACACCGAATTTCGCCAAAGCAGTAACAGCTGCAGCACGAACTATTGCGTTTTCAAGTACGACTCTGTTGTAGATATACCGGATGTACTTTGTTGGCTGTGACGTCTTGGGTCCTTCAACTCCGAGGAGGTGAAGAATGCGGACTGCAAGCTTTGTAAACTCGCAATCCTCGATAAACTCGCATAGATGGGCTAACGCATCCTCCTTCGAATCTGGCACGAATTTGATCAAATCGAACATGCTTTCAACCACGGCACGCTTGAATTCGTATCCGCCTTCGTCCCGGAGTATGCCACTGAGGAAGGCAAGCATACCAGCTTGTTTACTTGGGAACTTCAGGCATAACGATCGGATAGCTTCAACGATTGTGATCTTGAATTCGTCGGTGATGTCGGCCATAAACCCAGAGATCTGCTTCATCAAACGATCCACACTAGCCTCGTTACCAGTCTTGAGTAAAGTAGTTATGGCGAATGTGGCAATAGATCGGTTCGAGTTGGAAATGAGGAGTTCGATATCTGGATTGCAAGGGTTGACAGCGGCGGGTTTGAAAGAAGCAAAGTTATGGAGGATTCGGATTGCTGCGAATTTTGTGACCGCTCGAGGAGATGTGAGGAAGAGCTGGAGGACATGAATAGCTTGAGTGACTTCAGCATCCGTGACATCTCGCATATCGCAAATAGCCTTTGCTGCCTCGAAGTTCACCATCTCGCTCTTATGTCGGAGCCAGCCGTCCAAGAGCTGCATCATTGGCTTTCGGAGCTGCGGGTCCTCCTCTGCTAATTGTGCAGCTAACCTGACAAGCATAACTGTGGCCGCTGGGCTCTTCACCGCGCCTGCAGTACCGAACTGTTGAACCATTTTGACCAAAGCCATCCTGTCGTGAAATCTCATTTGGTAGAGGAGTCCAATTGCATGGTATTGTGTCATAGTAGAGTTGTTGACCGGCATCTGGCTCCCTGATGTCGAAAATCCCAGGGAGAATCCCCCAGATGATTTTGTTGATGTGGCAGCTTCTTGGGTCTCGCTCTGCCATCGTCGGACAACTTCGCGCGCTATTGGAAGGAGGTGGTATGAGGATACGAGGGCGGCCGAGGAGACGGATGGGTTCTTGTCTACGATCGCGGTCTTCATCACACGCTCGATACTTTGAACGGTAGATGCCTGTTCCTGTCAGTTCGAGCTCCCGTGAAACAAATTCCACACTCACGTCAATGATCCGGCAGAGGGCACGAATTGCATTCGGTCGGAAGATCGCATCTGTTCCACCACCAGTATCCTTCATGATTGTGCTTGTCACCATTATGATATCCTCCGCCGAGTGCGCCAGCTCCTTGATGATAAGATGCACCATCTGCCGTAGACTGGCATCTTTATTCTGGAAGAGTTTCGAGATTCCGAAGAAAAGGGTGGTGGCTTCATTGGTGGGGAATCGCTCTCCGGTGTAGAGCAGGAGCGCAATCTTGGTAAGAAGAACTCGACATCTCCGGGGTTGAATAGGGGAAGAGTTGAACAGTCGTGCTACCTGGCATTAGCTGGAGCTCAAGGGGGGGGAAGGGGTTCACCGACCCTCCTGGAAGACCGAGGTCCTGTCAACCCTCATGATTGCGGTGTCGGCATCTTCATCTTTCTTGCTGTAACTCATGATGGGCGAGGTTAGCTCCCCAGCTTCATGAATTGCAGAGCAAGAGGTGGAGTGAATTCGTGGATGCGATATGGAAGTCGGCTACGTTGCGACTTGGGCGCAGTGTGCAATTAGTTTCAAGCGAGCGGGATTACTGTAGCAGGGGCGGAGCGGAATTGGCAGGGGAGGGAGAGCGGAACTGGGATCTCACATTGAACCGAAGTGACTTTGAACAATGAATTTTTAAACCAATTGAGCTTAATACCAGAGGTTCTCCCCCGTCAAAATCACAAAGAGCAGGAGAATAAGAACACTCATTTAGGCACACACAAAAAAGGAATCTACATGTTTTTTGATACAAGCCTAGAAAATTATAACATCTCCGCCCAAGGGTCCCACTATGACGAACCACCGCCCATGAACCAAAGGAGCAAAAGTAGCCGAGTCCTCTCAAGCGCAAATTCGCACTCTCAACCCCCCAAAAAATACCAAAAAATGGAGATTGAGTACAGGTAGTTTCCGGTACCGGGAATCGAACCCGCTGAGAAATTGTCAGAATGTGTAACATTAGAAGATAGATGAAGCAACTTACGGGCTCTCCGGCTCTTCGAACTTAAGGTACGTTCTTGAAAGCGGAGTATGTTAACCCCTACACTATACCGGACGAATAATGTACAGAAAAACACCTTATTTCAATACATACGACAATTACTAAAAAGGCCTGAAAAATTGGTCTCGATGCACCTTTCCCAGGCCCACTCATGTACAACAAATGTCCCCTTCCAGCGATTAAGGAAGAATATGATCCTGTTTGTTTCTTATCGCGATAAAATTTTCATGTTCTTGACTTTGATTCAGAACAACGTTACATAATTTCTCAGCCCCTAACTAAGACAGGCTGAATTAACAATTCGCAGCAGTCACATCTACTTAGTGGAACAATAAAAGAACATCCCGATACCAATACCCACTTCATTTGATTCCCTCCAACTGTCATCAATCTGGTGGATGAAGTTATTGATAGTCATCAAACTTTCCGACATGTCGCAAATATTACCAATTTCCTTCGCCTATGTTTCGTCAATGTTCCACCGATGTATCTTCGGAGTCTCTCTATAAATACCGGAATATCTTGCTGCCTAAACGCAACGGTACCCTGTACATTCTGCAATGTATTTATCCTCGCGAGGGTATTCCACTAAAGTATGATGGCTTCAGGACAGGAGAATACCCAACTGTGACGCATGAAAATTTTCATCATGCTCGTTTAAACAACGTCAGAACAAGTTCCCGTCCGGGATTAATAGTTCAAATCCCAACGCGATGGTTGAAACCTCCCCCCTTTGGTTAATCGCGACACGTGACTTGCCCCGCCATTGAATGGGTACAAGGAGGGGTTATATCTTGCCAATAAACACCTTTTCTAGCAAGATCATGGGTGTGAAAACTTCGTTGCTGTGTAACTCCAATAAATCTCCTATTCGCCACTCCATCCAAGTCCAAAAGAAGACACCCAGAACCCCTTGGTGTGTCCTCGAAATGGCCGTCAAAACATGGAGGAAATGGTGCAAGGCAACAACCAACAAATCCCCATCACATAGAATCCTCTCTGGGCACAGCAGAAGTCGTCAAGTTGTCATGGTCTAGCTGGATCAGCCCAACCAGTCTGCCTTGCGAAAAATATCGAATATCAATTCCCACGGTAGTTATCCCGCGCCCCTCACTCGCATCCGCTGGGGCGCATTGGTGGAAGGACCCCTATTCCCAGAACGATGAATGACTGTTCACATTCTCTTAATAGTAACTACACCAACAGTCGGTCGATCTCCCCGCTCTACTGTACTCGTTCACCAACAAACCGAATCTAGAGCTTCGAGGGTTACACAAATCGACGATCTGAAGAAGTCGCAACGGTTTGTGATGTCCCGTTTCCCTATTCAGACGGGTTGGTACGAGCGAGGCGAAACACGGCCTCGTCAATATGTCGGGATGTAAGGCATGCATATTGGAAATGCAGTTCGTCTCGGGATTCCACAAAACTTTCCCTCAGGCCTGCCGAACTCGATAAGTAGAATGTATAGGAGGTATAGGTACATTAAAGCTTTGATGAACTTAACAAATAAAGATGTGCGAAGGTTAGATGGCTTGTCGTATTCCGAAAAGCCTAGCGGCTCCTGGCAACTTGTGGGTTTTGTATTCGAATATCCATGGAACAAAGCCTATATAGATGAACACATTGGCACATTGTATCTACGACCTCGATTTACGTTCCAAGCCTTGAAAGATTCTCAAAGCCAAATGGCTTCCTCTGACTCTGCCTCCGGCACGTGACTCTCTTAATTGTTGTAGCACGAACCACTTACGCCTACCCCGTTCATCCAAAGTCAAACACATTCGATGGGTGGTCGCTTCTCGGGCCAATTTGAATGAAACCTAGGCTGAAAAGCACCTCGGGATAACCTGCGTTTGGACTTCCAGTGAGGTATATCTCACGTGACTTTTCATTTAGCAGGAGGCACAGAATATATGCGTCGCTGTTTCATCCCTTCCATTGGAATACGACCGGTATTTCTATTCGCGGAGGGCTTCTCCCCCTTGTTTGTCTTAGAAATCAGCAGGTTCTCCCAAACAAATAGCAGCAGGCCATTATTCGCAATGTGTCTGAAAAGAACTCCATAGCCAATCGAGTCTTTCCAGTTTTGATGGCACACGTCCCATTTCTGCAATTAAGTATTTGGAATCTCCATAAAAACCATGTCGAAATGTTCAAATATAGGTGAGTATCCCCATATGGAAGTCCTTTTGTGGGAGACACTGTGGTTCGTGCAGCTTACGCGCCGCGGCGGCTAACTCACGCTGCCTTCTAAATATACACCAGCTCACCCTCACCGCAACAGCGCAAGCCAGAGACGGCTGCAAGCCCGAGCAGACCCGTTCAGGATAAGCATAACGTTCTGGAAAGGATCCTCCCGTCTTCCACAACCCAAGGTGGGTGTGAAGCATCGGGTAATAGGGTGAATGAGCGACACACTTGCAGCCACGACGGCGAGCCTCTCTTGGCCGGGGCGAGTTACAGGTGCTTGCTCCAGCAAGGAGAGACGTCGGCTTCCAATTGCGGCTGCAGGAACTGAATACGCAGCACGCACGTACCGCACACCTCCGAGATTCTGTGGTGATGCCTCCCCTGAGTAGGGGTTTAAAGATGGATACTCGGGATTCTCCCACCCCACGTCGTCTCTCCTTTTGGAGTTGAGCTGGCCGTCGAGCTGGAATTAGCTACAGAGAGCAGCGCGAGCAAGCGCAGAGGTATCAAAATGGCATACTGGCATCGGTCAGTGGCTTCACGGGACATCCGAGGGCGATGCTGCCCACGGGAGCGTCTGGTCCGTCCTATTTTGCGTTGCTGGTACTGCTGCAGTCAGAAGTCAGAAGGTACCGAAGACTCTGGCTGGCCACGCCGCACGCCTACTGGGAATGATCGATGCTATGCCCCACGGGCCGTAAAAAAAGGCTGACCCGAGGGCAGTACTGGCAGGAGGCCATCGGCACGCCATCGCAGGCCATGTATGGAGCACAGCTGGGTTACGTGCTGCTGGGGCTGGGACGGCCTCTCCATGTGTGGGACTTCTAGGGTGTGGGCTGTTGTGGGAGTGGGAGTGGGAGCGAACTGACGGGTGGGCAGTGAGAAGACGAGCGAAGAGAAGCCTGAGGAGCGCTGCTGGGTTGGCCTGGGATGGCTCAGACCACGATTCTGGCAGCATAATCGCACGCCCGTGGTGGTTATCGACCAGGGCCCGTCGAGGCTAGTAGAGCCCCTGTCACACTTCACTCAGGCAGGTCGAAGTATAAACTTTCGACGACAATCCTCAAACCCGGCCTGCCTTCTGCCAAAACAAGCGCTTGATAAGCCGCCAGCATCGATCTCCAAATTCTCACTAATACTGCTTCTCCCTCCTCCTCCGCCGACCGCAACTCCCACGACCCTATATACAATGGACTATCCGTACTTCACCGCGGCCCAGCAGCCCTATACGTTTCTCGGCCTTCCACCCACTCCAGCCCACACCGGCTCCTCGAATTCAGATGACTTCAGCAACTCTCCACCCGTTCGTGACCACTTTCATACGTTGCAGTCTTATTCACAGTCCTTCCTGACCCCCAAGCAGGATGCGTTTGAGTTCCAACCCTTCGATGCGTTCAACCAGCACTACAACCCCAACCCCAACCCCATCCAAGTCAAGGCGCCGACCCCGCACTCGCAGCACAAGCCCTCGATCAGCACCTCAACGCACAACTATGAGATTCCTGGGGAACAGAACGATGATTCCAATCGGAGGGGGAGCAATAGTGACGACGATGATAATATGACACCCGCACAGTCCCGGCGAAAGGCTCAAAATCGCGCAGCGTAGGCAATCCCCACATCCTGCTTTATAAGCATGCTTCTTTTCTATATATCCAATTCCTAACACAAACTGCAGACAAAGAGCCTTCCGCGAACGCAAAGAACGACACGTCAAAGACCTCGAAGCCAAGCTCGCGGCCCTACAGAAAGACTCCGCGACGGTAGCCGAAGAGAACGAGCGTCTGAAGCTGCAACTGCAGAAAGCAGCGACGGAGAATGAGATCCTCAAAGCCACGGCAGCACACCCACACCGCGGGCACTCAGAGCCGTTACCTACCGCCGGGCCAATGCGCTACTCTCCGACAGACTTCTACACGGAGGTGCTGCACGCGCACGAGAACAAGACGCCGAGCCACAGGATCGTGACTTCTGATACCGGGGAGCGGCTGCTGGCTGCCGGTGCGACGTGGGACTACATTATCAAGCACCCGTTGTACATTAAAGGCCTGGTGGACGTCGGGGATGTGAGTGACAGATTGAAGAAGGTCGCCAAGTGCGATGGGCAAGGGCCGGTGTTCGAGGAGAGGGAGATTATCGATGCCATCGAAAAGAGTGTTGCGAGTGGGAGTGACGAATTGTTGTATTAATGTTTTCTCTTCTTACGGGTTAATGAAGCATGAACGCGGATACCACTGGTGTTTGGGGGGGGGGGCTGAGACAGGAATGGAAAATTGGATAGGCGATTTGGGTTTTTTGGCATGCGGGTGTTTGGCTTTTTGATTTGCACGGATGGGGAACGGCGTTAATCTCTTTTTCCTCCTTTCTTTATACAATAAGTATGGCATTCAAACTTGGTTTTCTATTTATTTGTTTGGGACCAAAAATCTATGGACTCGATTCAAGTGATAGCTCCATTGTCTCCTCTTCATCGTCCTAGTGCATCTCATCCTAAGAACGAGCATATGCAAGATATTTCCAAACAATCCCCAAAATGCCCTGTTCATCCCATGCCATCCCGCATAAACCCATGACCCTCACACCCTTCCCCGTCCGTGCAAGCCTCAAGTTTGATCCTCCGGATCCGCGCTACAAAACAACACCTCTCCCCAGCACCATCTCCACACCACAATGCGCATAAACATCAACGCCACCTCCACTCCCACCCTTCTAGAACCTCATGCCATCCTTCCCCCAATCTCTGAACACTCATCCGAATTCCGAGACTCGACGTACTTCGTATAATGCCATGTGCAGCCCTGCCTCTCCGTGCTCTCGCTAAATCTCGTTTGATGGAACGAGCATGATCTCACATCACCTGC